CAGTGCATAGGCTAGCAGCAGGAGTTGATCCTGTTTCTTGCCCTCGAAGCAAGCCTGTTAATGCCAGTGTAGCACTGCTGGGTTGGGGCTGTCAGCTGGGCCTTGGGGTGTCACTGCTGCTTGCTTGTTGTGAGGGAATTGCCTGTTCATGTGTCTGGAGAACCATGGAGTTATTTAATGCTGGAACCTGGACCTTCTAATGTATAATACCGTAGGATTATACACATCACATGAAGAGCTTAGTGGTAGGCTGGTTGAGTTAATGTGAATCTACAATAAATATGTTGGTAGTGTAGCTCCCCAGACACTTGATAGAAGATGAATTGTGGTTTTTAACTGAAGCCAGCTGACTGTAGATGGGATAGGAATATTTTTTGTTTCATTCTAAAACATACCGTGTGTAGTTTCTCTCATGAGAGAGATCATTAGGCAGTCTCTCTGGGAACAAGTTCATGTTACCAGATTGGATTAAATTGTGCTTGATGAGAACAGATTGATACTTAGATTAACTACATTGCTTTAAAATTTTTGGTGACTCATTCTCTGTTAGGCTTTTAAGCAGATAGCTTTATCAGTGTAAAATGTACCTTGTACCACCTACACAATGGAAGGCTTATCATCTTTGCAAATACTGGATAGAAAATCTGAATTGAAGAAAGCTGCCTAAACATGAAATGCTTGCTTGAGGTAGACAAAGGACGGGAGAAATTGGGACTGCAGCACTTTAATATGAGAAGGAAGATAATTGTTCCCATCATTTAAATGATTCCTCTAGGAATCTGCTTCAGCTTTCTTGCTAGTAAGGCTTCTGAAGGTGAGTAGGACTTAATGAAAATGAGGATTCCTTGATGCAGTGACTTTTAACCACTGACAGTTTCACAGTTGCCTACAATGTTCACACCAGTGAACAATGTGTAATCCTTCTGCACTCTTGTGGTGATTGTATAGGATCATTAAGGTTGGGGATGTGACTGTTCTTCCTTCATTGGCTTTGCTTTTGCAGCAAAATTTTGCCATAAGCACTATGAATAATTTTCTTTGAAACCTTCCTTTGAAATACTTGTTAATAAGATTTAAATTTAAATTTAAACCCTCTCCCTGATCATAGTCCCTAAAGAAAATCTGACAAATTCATGCAGAAGGCTTTCTTTTCAATCAAAAGTAAACAAATCCTGAACAAGGACTCTTTAAAGTTGAAACAGAGTTGAGGCATGCTAAAATTTGCCACCCATTTTTCTCCTTCCTTCCCTCATCAACTATCAGACTGCATAGGTGTAATTCCATAGCTATGAGCAAGACTGTGTAATTTCCCTCTGCTTTTTTGAAGTGGTCTAATTTCAAGCCCCTTTATGCTATACTGATCCATGAAAAAGTTTTCATATGGGCTGTTACTTTCACTTCCATCGAGGATTCTCTGTTGCCTCTTGTGTACCTGGACTGACAGGGTGAAAAGCTTTAGCCTGTAGAGAGCAAAAGTGTGCAGTATCTGATAACAGAGATTCGCTTGTGTTTGAATCGTTGACCATGGCATCTTAAAGTCTCAACAGAAGACAACCTTGATAAACTGCACAGCCTTGTTGCATATTTTATGCCTTCGTTACTGTGTTACTGTATTAGGCTGCGTATCTTTTGTTATGCATTGCCTGGGAAACCCCAATCCTGCAAACTTTTCTGCTGGTTTGTTTGGGTTTTTTAATGCAAAAGTGAAATTTTTGAGAAGAGGCACTCCATTGTGAGAAGACTTCACAAGAGATTCTCTGCTAGGCTATTCTTCCTAGTGTACTTTGCAGAAAAAATTACTTCTTTTGATTGAGGTTTTAAGCCCGTAATCAGCTGTGTGAAAAGAGCTGATGGCTTCCAGGCTTTTGAAGGAAAACGGAATGCAGATATCCTCCCATGAGCCCAATGACTGAGTCTTGTGGACTGCTGCTTTTCTTCAACTGGAACTAGGCCAAGTTGTACTAAAGCTTTCTGAAATAGCTCTAAGAGCATATGTGAGTGGGCTTGACCTTGTGATAACAGACAACTGATAGATAAGATAGGAAAGATTTACCTGCTAAGAAAGTTCTGTTACTATATGGCTGAGTCAAAGTATTAAACTGAGCAGTAAGCTGTTAGCAGGGCAGGACTTGAATGTCCAGTGCCATAGTGATGGTCATAAATTCTTACACAAACATTGGTAACTAAACAGCGCTGTTGTGGAAAGTGAGCTTTCCTACTGGCCACGCATAACAGTGGCTCTGTCACTGGACCTCTTGGCATCTTGGTGGATTTTGAATGGGTATCAAGATATGTACCATTTCTGTTCACTCGGATTCTTTTCATAGCTGCAGAGAAGCAGGCGATATTTCAGGAATCGGAAGCACCAATATGGAACTATCCCAAAGCAGTATGTATAGAGAGCTAAAAGATAGGGTAGAGTCTCTCTGGCGGTGAGGGAAAGAATCCTGTGTTGGTGTTTGTGGAGTAGCATCTGAGGCTGGAATAGGAAAGATGCATGAAGAAAAAAGATGAAGAAGACAGAAAATAGCAAAGGCTAGGGAGGACAGAGAATTAAAACAGATAAGAGTAGAAGAGAAGGTAATGGGTTAGATAGATTTGGGTTGCCTGTGTGTGGTAGTGTGGTAGTGAGCTTTGCACGCATCCGGACTGTCTTATATCACTGATTTTAGTCTCCCTTACCTTAAGATTTTAAGTACTGGAGACTGCTCTGAAGTTTCCGATTTTGTGCTACTAACGGAATTTGTCATGTGATAGGTCCATGCATAATATCAGTTTCTTTCAGTTAAATTGTTAAACAACATGCAATGGCCACATTGAAACAATCTCTAAGTTGTCAAGTGAAAGAACTCATAAATTCCAGAATGGAGCTTGCCTCTGCTTTGTTAATTAAGTTCTCTTAGTGCACCTTCTGATACTATCCTTAATTACATGATCATATTAGTTTTTCCAAAGCTGCTTGCTTCATGCACAGGAGAGATCTGCTAAAAGGATGAATTAGGGTTATAAAGTGAAGGACACTTATGCCTGGAGGAGTCTGCTGAACTTCTACCAGCATGAAGAGATTTCTGTTTGCAGGAGAGTGCTGGCAAAGAGGACCAAGCAGGAAGTGGGCAGGTGATCTGAAGTATATGTCAGCTAAATATTCCTTGGATTATTAGCCATGGTATTAGGCCAAGTACTTAGAGCAGACTTTTTCTAAATGGTATGTAAGCATGCATCGTGTTTTTCCAGTGTTTCTTGGTAGAAGTGTTGAGTGCTCAGAGTTGCAAACACATTGCTAGAAGCTATGCATTTAAGGTGTAGTGGTATCTACTTAAGTAAGTAAAGATAAAAGCACCCAGATCCTGGTTGTCAAATCCACTTGCTACTCTGATCTCTGATTATTTTTGTGTGAGGGTTGTGGTTTTTCGTTTTGCTTTGTTTTATTTTGTTTTGATTTTTTCCTCTGCAGGAACATCAGTAATGTAGAAATAGTATATACAGTTCATTTTCACAGGACTGTTTAAGAAGTAGCAGTGTACTGGCAAGGTGTCTTCAAGTAAATGAGCACATGAGTTAGTTCTTACTGGTTGTGCACAATCCTTTCCACTACATCTGTTTCCAGGTGGTTTATAATCTGGAGAGTAATTTGTATGGAGTGCCAGCTTCATTCTGGAAGTGGTGTCACCCAAACAGATAGTGTGCAGGGTTTATGCTGGTTATGCTGGCTTCTCCACACATGGAATATGTTTATCTGCCTAAAAGATGGGCTAGATTGTGTTACTTGTATTGCATGAGAGTGCTTAGCAAATGTGTAGGAAATGCCTCAGAAATCTTAACAGTTATACCGGCATATTTTTGGGGTCTTTTAAAATGGCAAAAGTCACTGCTACTTTTGAAACAGGCTAGATGTTTTCCTGTGCTATCAGTTTCAAGAATATAAACAGAACACGCCTACAGGGAGAAGAGATGTCCCCTACAGATAAAAGATTCTCATATTTTAAGATATGCTCAGAGAAATGCCTTCTATACTGGCAAAGAATTGCTGTATGGGATTGGCTGCTTATGCCTCAATAAGTTGTTTGTTGTTGGGCACTTTTGGTTGGGTGTTTTTTCACTATGGTCCCAAACTGAAATAAATTAAATGTCTAGTTGGTTTGCAAAAAAGAAGGATATAAATGTAAACTTTATCAAAAGAAAAAGGAGTGGAGGAGCTGTATTACTTAGATATTGGTGCATGAGGGAATAATATATTCTGTTGAGCCTCTCAAATATCTGCAAGATATCAATCTTTGTTTCGTTTTAACTTTCCATTGCAAGTGTGCAACTACTTTGATGCTCAGATATCTAGGATATTAAATAATGGATGAAAGGAATGTTTCAATGTTTGATCCTATACTCATAGTCCTTTAATATGACAATTTATTTGGCTTTGGATACATGAAGGTTTTATGTTGTTTGGTTTGGTTTACTTTGGTATTGATAGAGATGCACCCTTCTATGTGAATATGGTGCTCTATAGATGTTTTCAGCTGTTTATGGTATGGTTTCTGGCAGAACACTTCCAAGAATTTGCTATTATATCTGTTACTGGAAGATTAAAAAAAAAAGAGATAAATAACCTCTACTTTTTTTTAACCTGTTCAGTCTATGCAACATTAGTTACTAAGCAACTCTGAAGAGATGAATGCCAGATGGCAAAAGCATCATAATGAGAAACAAAAAATGCAGTGATATGCATAAAATGTTTATTTCATAAGCTTCTGTTTGGCTTGTTTATTTCAGTAGCACCTTATTTCAGTCACTGATCTCAAAGGTTTGAGCATTATAAGCTGTTATCATGAGCAAAAGTCTAAGATGATCCCATATAACATGCTTTGAAAAAGTCTATCCTCAAACTGAATTAAAAGAAGAAAAGTTTGTGTTCTCATTAAGTATGTTATTTTCTTTTAGACACTATAATTTGATGTGCACTGTTATATGTGTGTTTCTTTTTGGTTTTGTTTTCTTTTTAACAGATTTCTGTGGGTACCAAAGCTCAGGACACAGTATCAATCTCATCATGATACTTGAACATCTGTAGCTCACTGGAGGATTTAAAAAAGAAATTCAGTATGACCTAGTTGGCTTGATATGTGGAAATTTTATAATGTCTTCTGGAACAAGTATCAGCAAAAATAGGCAGGCTCCCAGCCTGCAGGGTGTTGACCCAGAAACATGCATGATAGTGTTTAGAACACACTGGGCACAGGTAATGTTAATTGGTTTTATTGATTGAAATAAGCTGCATTAATACAAATTTGCTTCATTCTTTCTTTTGATACAATCCTGAATTGTGCAGGAAGAAATGTCTTTCCTGCAGAATGCAGTAGATGACACTGAACTATTTTTAAAATGCAAAGGTAATTGACCTTTCAAGGTATGGTTAACCTTTACTAATCACACTTGGAACTCTGGATTTGTATTTAAGTGGGAAGTGGTAGGACATGGTAATATCTTATTGAAGGCCTAGATCTTCTTACTGGCTTTCCTATTGATTCATTGTGACTTGCACCCTGTTGCAGACTTTTGCCCTTCTTTTCCTTATGCTGGGTAAGTCTTGCCTATCTTTTATAAAGTAAATCAGATGCACAGTGTTAAAAAGCTGTATGCAAAATGCAAAGCTGTAAGCTTTCTTATTTATTATGGATAGATGTAGATTATACACTTCAGCATATTCTAAAAATTGTTTGCATGTCATTAGGATTGTAATTGCTTTTAAGCAAAGATGTTTTGCTGTAAGCACCATAATATAAGGTCTTGTTTGCTGTAGTAATATGAATAACCTAACAATTTAGATAAAATTGATTTCTGTGCTGCTGTTCTTGTTGTTCTTTGGCTCTCCCAAGAAACTAGCCAAATAGTCGTGTTTCTGAGATATTTCTAGAGTCAGAGGAGTCGTCATTCTAGAGTTACCTTTTCTCACCTAACTAGTGATGTGTCATGTTAAGGGAGACAATGTTCCTTTATGGTTTTGTGGCAATTATCCTCCACAAAAAGGCTAAAGACAATTTTTTAAATTTTTTTTTCCCCCCAGAAAATGAGCTTTATTGTTTGCATGCATAACAGAATGTAATTCAGGGTTAGAAGTGCTGGTATGACTATTATTTCTACATTGAAAGTTGTAAGAGTAAGTAAGTGGGCATCAGTGACCATTTGGTATCATATACAAGGTATTAAGCAAAGAATAGCACTGTGGGCTGCTACTACTCTTATTACTGCAAATCAGCCCATGATATTGATATTCCTGAGCACAGTTACTCTGACTGGAGAACAGGCCTTTGGATTTCAGTTCTCTGTGATAATCTTGTTTCAAACATCATGGAAACTCAATTTTTGAACACCAAGGAAACCTAGTTTATCCCTATTTGAGACAACCCCTGGAATAGGAATAGGGTAAATGACAAATTTAGGTGCTTATTAAAAAAGGTGAACAACAGCAGTATATTTTTGCCTTGTACATGCCAAATGTAAAATTTCAGGGTTTGTCTGTCAAACTTCCTAAATCTGAAAACATAAAAAAGCTTCATGCTTTTTGTGTTAAAGAATTTTGATATTTTTCCTTGTATTGATAGGTGCATGCTTTTTATGATGCATTCAAATGCATTAAAACTGATATATCTTTGTTTCTCTTTAGGTTCTGAAAATCTTAGAGAAGCATGATCCTTTGAAAAATATTCAGGCAAAGTATGGGGCAATCTCACTTGATGAGGCCAGCACTGTGCAGAATTACGTGGAGCACATGCTTTTCTTACTAATTGAGGAGCAAGCAAATGATGCCTCAATGGGGCCTATTCTGGAGTTTGTGGTCTCAGAAAACATCATGGAGAAGCTTTTCCTTTGGAGCCTAAGGCAAGACTTCACTGATGAGACAAAAATTGAGCAACTCAAAATGTACGAAATGCTCGTAACCCAGTCTCATCAGCCTTTGCTGCATCACAAGCCCATTTTGAAGCCTTTGATGATGTTGCTGAGTTCCTGCTCAGGAACAACCACTCCAATAGTGGAAACAGAGTTGGTTGTCCTCTTGAGTCAGCTCTGCTCTATAATAGCCAAAGATCCCTCCATTTTAGAACTGTTTTTCCACACTAGTGAGGACCAAGGAGCTGCCAATTTCCTCATTTTTTCCCTGCTGATCCCCTTCATCCATCGAGAAGGAACAGTAGGTCAACAGGCCCGGGATGCACTGCTTTTCATAATGTCTCTGTCTGCAGAAAACAACCTTGTTGCAAACCACATAGCAGAAAACACGTATTTTTGCCCAGTAAGTTGTTCTTATTTTACATGGTCTTCAGTGCTAAACTAACTGTCTTTCCTGCATTCTTTCCTCCTTTACTGTCATTTTTGGTAAAGAAGTGTTGTAACACATTTGTTTTTGCTAACATCTATTTCACAAATGATAATGCTGCTTAAACCATCCCCAATGCCAAACGCAATCTTGCTTCCTGTTTCCATACCAGTGTCTTCTGCTTTTGGGCCAGCTCAAGTGTTTTTGCAGTCACACAGTGAATTGGATTGGAAAACCGATGGAAGTTATAGCAGAACACAGTGGGAGGGAAATCTGTTCTGTCTCACTGAGAGGCACCTCTGAGATTCTGGGGCTAAGGGGAGTGAGATGTCCTGAGGTGGTTTCAGGTGGCAGCACAAGATTAAGCTGGCAGTGCTTCCCACTGAGTTCAACAGTTCAAAAAAAAAGTGTGAGAATAGTGAGAGAGTTACAAAAATGGTAACATTTTTGGAAGATAAAAGGGAGATTTGCTCATTGTCACAAAATTGGATGTTTCTATAGCTGTCTCAGGCTAACCACCATCTTGCTATGTTGTTCTCCATTACAAAACTTTTAAAAAACAGCACCATTGCATTGTTACACCTGGCAAATTGATCTTACTACATGAAAACCTTTACTTACCTTGCTGTAAGTAAGTAATCTGATTTAACTAACAAAGCTGTGCTAATGCAGTTTTAAACCTAAAGCAGACTGGAATAACAACACCTACTTCTTCATGCCTTATCACAGTCTGAGATCTCCAGTGGGTGTATTTAAACCCAAGTATCATTCTGTACAGAAGTTGCTCTTACGGGTCAGGTTTTGGATGGATTCTTTTATATTCTGCATGGCTTGGATTTTAATTTAATAAATCCTGGGAAAATGAAGTGGAGGAGAGTCTTTCATGGCTACTAAAGCAGAGAGCTGTAAGAGAGAGCACTAGAATCCCTGCCACTGCTTGACAGCTGCTCCAGCCTTAGGTTTCCATTTATTCTGAGATTGCTTTGAGCAGTAGAGCAGAGCCACATTTGCAGGGTAGGTGAGACCTGCTTTGAGCAGTAGGGCAGAGCCACATTTGCAGGGTAGGTGAGACCTGCTTTGAGCAGTAGGGCAGAGCCACATTTGCAGGGTAGGTGAGACTAAAAATTCCACAACAAAACTTCTAAATGGTTTCTTCTGTCAGTTGTAAATACTGCATCAATTTGAGACTCCAGTTGACCTCGAGGTCTCCTCAAGAGGAGAGAGATACTGCCAAAGAATATGATATTGATTCTCAAGCTGTCTCCAAGACAGATACCATTATTGGATCCATGCTATAACTTCCATAATTACATTTTGTTATTAGTTAAAAACACCTCAAACAAACAAACAAACAAAAATGCCAGCCTTACTACACTGAAGGTAAATGCCAGCTTTCAACAGCAGGGAGCCATGGCAATCATTCCAATTAGAAATGCTTCTTGTCAAAATGTGCTAAAATCACACTTTCCTCAACAGTAATGAGGTTGATCTAAGTATATAATAAGACTTTAATGTATTGCCATATATTTAGTTTACTAGCACAATATCTTTTTTAAATTTGAGTTGTGATGAGCTGAAAAACAGATTTTGTTCTGATGGAGGATTTTGTAGGTGTTGGTGACATTGCTGTGTCTCACTGAAATCAGTGCAAATGTTGCCTCAGGTAACTCGGCAAAACAGTTAAAGCAGTCCTGTATTGATAGCAGAAACATTCTGGGTGGCACTGTGTTGATATTATCTGTTGTTTCTGGGGACAGGTTGGCATGCTGTGTTTTCTTTACCATGTCTTTTTGCATAATAAAGGCATCCTCTGGCGTGGGGTCTGGCCATAAATCTCTGCTGCCTCATGTACCCAGATCAGTGTTAGATCTGTGCCAACGTGAACCTGAAAGTTTTCTTGATACTGTTTTTTGACATAGCTTTGGTTAACAGCTTTTTAAAAACTGAATTGTCTGTAGATCCACAGTATTCAAAACTGTAGGTAAAAAAACTAGAAGGAAGGAAGGAAGGAGACAATTTGCAGTGGGATACATCACTAACAAATGTTTTTAACATGGAATGTGTGGGTACACTATTCAGTAAAGTCTTCTGATTTTACACCAAATAATTTTTATCATGTTTTGACATGAAAGTTTTCTGGATATGATTGAAGATATTATCTGTTCAGCATTATAATAAGAAAAAAATGTTTCTAAAGAATTTTGAGTATAGTAACATCTCAAAGTCCCTCACAAAATTTTGTGAATGCCTTGCAGCTTAGGAAAGCAACTTTTATAGCAGGAGGAGAGATGGCTCTGCAGTGCCCTTGAAAAGTTGTGGATGCAAAGAGATGGAAAGACTACGGATGTGGGAGGAGAGAGAATTATTACACAAAGTAATTGTCCAGATAGTGATTGTTTGTGCATTAACAACACATTATAATCAAATAATATGCCTGGGATTACAAATCACGTAGTCATGATTCACTTCTGTGAGTTAAGAGAAAGTAAATAAATCAAAGAAACTGGTTTATAGAGAGACTCATGACTCAATGGTGGGGAAAAAACTGCTAGAGATGCTTGTAAAAGTAGATGAGCATGTAGGGCTGACATGAGAAATGCTGGAAGAAGTTTAAAAGGACACTGCTTTTGTAAAACAAAAAATGAAACCAGTCTTGCTTTTTCAGGATGTAAATGCTTTCTTTTCCTTCCCTTTCAGATTCATTTTTTCATTAATGTTTCATTACTGATTAAAAAATCTGTTCTGTTGGTAATTTCAGATGGTAGCTCTATTTATACCATATACTTCATTTTAAAATATTTTCTATCTAAAGAGATGAAATTACTTCCTGTGGCTACTCTGTCTCAGTGCTTAACAAACATAATTCCATAGAGCCATTTGTGTTGTATTTCATAGCAAAAATAAGAGCTTCCTAAACATTACAGATTTTAGCAGCTGCATCTGCTACTTCTTACTTCAGTAAGTCTGACAAACTAACGAATTCAAGACACTGACTGATTGTGAGTTCACTGTTCCTATTAGTGGAGAGCTGTATGTTTTGTTCAAGGTCAGCTTCTTGTGCTTGAGGGCTAATACCCATATAAAGGAGAAACATGGATGGGACACAGCTCTGAGAATCAGATTGCATACTGAGAAGGTGTGTTTGTGTTTATGAATAGTAATTAAATTTTAAGCAGACAATGGAAAATCAAGTGTGCATTAATTCAAAGTTCACAGGACAAACAAATGCCGAATTCTCTCATCGTTGGAAGCCTGGGTTTGTGAGAGTAAGTGTTTGCATGGATTATATATAGGTAATTCTGTAAGAGCTTTTTTCTGAGCTCTTCTACTGTGAGAAAGAAAAGCCCCCAAAGAAATTCTGGTTGTAGAAGAATGAGATTTTACAAATAAAGTTTTGCTCAATAGCTTTAGCTTCTCAATCTTTTAACATATGTCCAGCATTGTCCTTTATCTCTCTGTATATATAAAACTGTGTCTATATCACTGTACAAAAGCAGTCGATTTCCACAGTATTCTCCCCTCCCCTTTAATATTTGGCTTACTTACCTATGCCAGAATAAATCCATCTTCAAAATTATGTGAATTAGTAATAAAAAGTATTCAGAAAGACAACCTTTGTCTTTTATGGATTTTGCCTTGTATGGATTAACAGTTACAATTGTTTGTGCTTGTGTACGATCGAAACCTGATCACCTTCTGTGAACCCTTGGCCTTTGATCTGGATATTTTAAACTGTTTGTTTTCCAGTGTTTTCTAGTAGATATGAGCTGTGTTTCATCTGAGCTTTAACAGTCTAGCCCTGTAGATGCCAAGTAGCCTTTTGTAAGAGAAAGTATTCTTAGAAGGGTCTGTTGAATGAAAAAGATTGCCATCATGCCAATTGATGCTGTTCCCATTAAAATGAGAATCATCTTTAAAAACTATCATGAAGTTGTATGAAATCATCTCAGAAAGATAAGAGTACTAAGTAATATTTAGAAAGTTTCTGGCTTCAAATAACTTTAATAATTAAAATCTGCATCTGAAAATACCATACTCTAGATACATTCTGCAAAATTTAAAAACCATTTTGGAAAAATGCTTTCTAAATTGTAACTAAAAATGCTCTCTTGTTCTTCAGTGATGTATTCTACATAAATTACCTGTAAGGCTTAATGTTACTGGAAAAACTGTTTGAATAATAACTGGATTATTAAAATAATTCTTCAAATAAATAAGAAAAAAAGAAAATTATGAACAGTTAAATTTACTATTTTTTAAAGTTAATTCAGCTGAATTTAAGTACCTGGCAATCAAAGTCAACATATATTTGTGATCTAAGGGGGGCTGAACTTCATTTTTGTTGATGGGGCACTTTCCCCCTCCGTTTCTGATGTTTCATGTTTCTGAGTGACATGACTTCATATGTTTGAGCAGTGGCGTTTGAATCACCAGCAAAGACAAGCTGTAGATAATGGCACTGCTCGCTGTTTCTAAAAAGGACTGAAGGAAGTGAAAAATAAGTTTAGAAAAATATAAAAATAAATTATAATTTAGGATTAAAAAAACACAAGATAACCTGATTTTCTCCATCACTTTCTCCTAAATACCAGATCTTGAAAGAAGCATATTATATGGAAGGCTCTTTAAATATTTATTTTTCTGCCACAGGACTTTTTTGAAAGGAAATTAAATTAATCTCAACACTCTCTTATGTTACTGAAACTAATAGGAGAAACCATTTGTGGTCCTGTCATTTAAGCAGATAGACAGTTGGAAAATTAGCTTATTTCCTTTTCTGTTTTTGAAATACAGGTGCTAGCAACAGGACTAAGTGGCCTCTATTCATCTTTGCCTACAAAGCTGGAAGAAAAAGGAGAAGAATGGCACTGTCTGATGAAAGATGACTGGCTTTTGTCACCAGCCCTTGTACAATTCATGAATTCCCTTGAATTTTGCAATGCTGTGATACAGGTGACTGAACGGAGTTAGCTTGTTCTTTAGAAGTAGTAGTAAGTTATATCTTCTTCAGAAGTTTGTAAATTAAAGAATTTATTTATTTTTGTTAATGTCACGGACTATTAAAGTTACACTAAAGCAAGCTGCTTAAAAAATTAATGCCTTGTGCCATCTATCCTGGTTATAGGGATGACCTAATATATTTGTGGTTTTCAAGTGCCAAATGTTTCAAATGAAAACTTGATATTACCTTATGTAATTGGGAGCATTTTCTGTTAAAAGAAAAAACAAATATTTATTGCATTTTAATAGCACTGTTAATCCTAGAAGTAAATTGAATGCCTTTACATGTTGGAAAACGTTGGGTTTATATGTGTATTTGTTTAAGCTCTCATAACAGCATACAAAAGAAAATAGTCTGTTTTGCCTGTTGGTGAGTACAACATAAAGAAAGCCTTCCAAGCAGAATTAATTAGATCTCCTCCTAGAAGTTTAATTTAATTTTAAGATTGGCCTATTTTGAATCTATTCTGTTCTTCCAGGTTTCTTTTTCAGTGCTTTGCTCCCTTACTGTTTCTTTCCAATTTAAATGTAAAATTAAATTCTTGACTTTATATATTGTTTTTAAGGTTTGAATACTCAATAGAACCCAAATCCGGTATTCTATTAAAACAGGATATGAATTCTACAGAAACTGTGTATTTGTGTTATTTGAAGAAATGTGCTGGATAGGATTGAAAATTTAGTCACATTTACTGTTAAATAAAATATATGTTTCTGTGCAGTGTGTGCGAAGTACAGTAAAGGAACTGATTGACTATTAAAGCCTTGAACATGCAAAAATAATAGTGTCATTGTTCAAATGCACTATACAAGATTCTTAGCATGCATGTTTGAATATGAAGAGGAGACAGTATTAATTTTGGTGTCTAACCAGAACTGTTCTACAGATCTACATTTGCAGGAGATCGTATCTGATACCTTTATTGTAAAAAGATTATATGAAGAGCATTACAGAAAAATTTTAAAATTAATCATTTTAAAAACGCTATTCAAGTAGATGCAAAATGTTTAAGGATATCAGCTGACATGCAGAAAGAGCAGTTTCTGACTCCTGCTTGATTGCATCTGTATAGCCTTCAGCTGACTTGAAAGCTCAGTTACTGTAGGAATTTTTGCTTTGCACATGGACTGGTCTGTGTTCACCCAAAAACTTTGACCAGAGATTAAAAACAAACAGGGTAGCCAAGACCTCTTGCCATTTACTACTTTTTCCCTGGACCACAACATAGAAAAGGCCACTCTTCTTACCAAATTAAGAGTTACAAGTTAAAGAAAGTCTGGTGAGAATTGCAGGTTGGAGAATCTATTGGAGGCCACATATAGGCTGTGACACTCCATTCTTTGTGAACTTCAAACGTAATATACTGGCAATATACTATTGAAAGCTTCTGAATGGAATTTTATTTTGCTTTTAAATACATTAATTGATGTGTTTTCATTGCAAAGACAAAATGAATGTTTAATTATAAAAGTAAATTTTTGGCTTCTGATAATATTTTTGGGGGTTTTGCTTGTTTGTTTTAAAGCTCTTAACCTTCCTTTTGAATTAATTATGCTGGTTTTGTTGTAATTTCTGTTTGTTTTACAGTGGCTTGGAGAAGGGAATGTGAACAGTGTATTCTTTCCCCATAGCTAGAGAGTACTTTGGTTTATCTACTCTTGAACTATAGGAAAGCAGCTGTTCTGCTTTTCTGTGTTGTAGAAGGACAAGTAACAATGGCAAATCCACCTTCAAGTGACCCCAACAATGTTGCAGGAGCTGAATTTAGAATTTCAGATCTTGCTTTCATACATGGCTATATAGACTTTTCTATCCATCCATTCATCTTTGTCAGAATGCAGGAAGATGGAAAAGCCATGTCTCTAGGTTTGGCAGATTTACTGTAATTAAAGCTGGTGTGTGTATTTCTTTGTAGAAGAAATAGTTGTTAAGAACCCGAATCATATCAAATGCTGGTGAGAAGGAATAACAAATGTCTTATTAAATGGGAAAGCGTTTTGGTAGTGAATAATAGCATTCTGTGCCCTGTCTTTTAAATACCACTAGAACTGTTCTGTGTCTTTCTCTCCCCTACCCTCTTAGGTGGCACATCCCTTGATACGCAACCAGCTTGTGAATTACATTTACAATGGATTTTTGGTGCCAGTAATGGCTCCTGCACTCCATAAGGTCAGTGACATCTGCAAGCATGGCACAAAAGAATAACAAGAAGAATTTATGGAAGATCTCTGTATAAAGATACTATCAGATGTATTGTCAGTAGTGACTTCCATGCAATTCAATACATTTCTAGACTAACTTGCCATCTTTTCATTCTATATACTTTCTTAAGCAATGTATAGATATTTCTGAAAATGTTTAAAATTAAGTGTAATGAAGAACCAAAATGTTTGTGTTGTTCTAGACTCACATATCATCAAAAAAGCAGTGACATTTTAGACATTTCATTATGGCAGACATGTTTCCATGAGCATTTTTTTTCTAAATGACTTTTTTTCTACAGGAAGATGCCTAGAAGGAAAATGTTTAGTCAAGAAATATTATGCTAGTCTTAGCAAAGTTGCTATTACTTTGTAGCTCCTTATCATATTGCGTAGAGTTATTTTCCTAAAGTAGAGTTTGCTATCAGTTTTCAAATGTACTAGAGTGCAATTTATGTTACTTTGAAGAAAAAATCAATTTTTTCTTTGAATTTTAGGGTTTATCCTTTGCAAAATATGTCACCAATGTTAGGGAAATATGTATTTAGGTTTTTTTGGTTAGGCTGCAAAAAGCTACATTTCCAACTGTTGTAGAATATGTTAATTATGCCAATTCCCCATCCCTGGAAGTGTTCAAGGCCAGTTTGGATGGGACTTTGAGCAACCCGGTGTAGTAGAATGTGTCTCTGCCATTGGCAAGTGAGTTGGAACTAGATGATCTTTAAGGTCCCTTACAACCCAGGTCATCATATGGTTCTGTGATTTTATGATTAACAGTTTTCATTTCCCTGTAAAAGAACACCTCTTTTGAGAAGAAAATGTAGGAACAGCTGAGAGTAAAAATCCACAAGAAACTTTCAGAAGCAAACTAAAAAATTATTTTTATAAGGTCTCCTAAGTCTCACAAAGCCAACCAAGCACAAAGCATTGCAGCTGTTCCATTTTCTGGAACTGAAATATCATACCCTGCTTTCTTGTTCACAACTTGTTCTGGTAGCACACACCGTTCTTCATGGTAAATAGTCACCAAGAAAGTCATAAGCAATGTAGAGTCTTTTTCAATGATTTGGCAGACCTTGAACACTTGGGAATTGGGTGAGGGTTGAAGTATAATTTGGCTGTGATCCAGATCGAGGCTGTAGTCTGTCCTGAGGTAGTTAACCTCCTTAGCTGGCAATAATCTTTTCTATTTCTGTATCTGGACTTAATCGCTTACCAAGACTGGGAATTAGAAGTGAAAAGTCTAACCAGTTTTAGGTCAAGGTTATGGATAATGAGGGAGATGGCAGAATGGATTCTAGTCTTAGTGAGTACTGTTTTATTTCTGAAGTATTTGAGACTAATCTTTGATTGTTTTGAATACTACCATGCCTCTAAAAGGCATTCTTATCAGTCAGTAAATCTCCTGACCTCCTATTGTGTTGATTACTTGCCTGTTGATGTTAAATAATTTAAAGATGGCTGTTGTGATTACTTTTCCTTTGGTGAAAATTCTGTTTATATACTCTGAAAGTGGGTGAAATCATTTCTCTTGAAAACGAGAATGTTGGCTGCTAACATAGGTGACTTTCAAAGCCTAGATCTTTCTCGAACCTTGATATTCTGTGCCTTGGTTTGAAAGACAGGTATTTGCTAAGGAAAGGTGAGAACCCCTTTTTCTGAGATGCAGAGTGCAACCCCCTCCCTTCTAATTATTATCGTTTCAAATCAGAGGCTTTCAGGCAGAAGATATGGGGATAGGAATAACAGTTCTTTACTAATATATCTAACAAGGCAAACAGCAGAAACAATAACAGCTATAAAAACTGACAACAAAACAGAACAGTATAGCTCAGTTCCAGTCCCTTTTGGCCACAGGCCGTCTCTCCCTGCGCTCAGTTACCGGTGCTGTGGGCAGGGCAGGTCCCATGCAGTCGAAGAGGGCTGGGTGATGGCGGCAGCCCAGGGGTGAGAGGGATGGAGGAGAGACTCCCCCCTCACAGTGTCAGTCGTGGTGCTTGGCAGAGTGCCCAGAGGTAGTAGGATGAGGCAGGAAAGCAGCACTGCTATGTCCGATGGCAGGGAACGTGGCTCCCGGCATTTGGATTGCGGGGAGGACGCTAGGTAGGAGCCCTGGCCGTCTTCCTTCGACTCCACAAGCGAGCAAGCGAGCGAGAACCCAGGCCCCTGTCCCACCTTTCCTTTTCTGGTATTCCCCCTGTTCCCCACCCCTCTGTGAGAGAAAACTCTTACTACTAAGGTGTAGCCACAAATACTTAGCATAACAATGGGAAAAATTCCACAGAAAGAAAAGGGAACAATTCAACCCCCAACATTCTGCTTGGTGCCTTGTTCTTCCAGTAATAAACCTTTCCTTGATTAGCATTAAAATTGACTTCTTTCTCATTAAAAACTAACTTCTTGCTTATAAACTTCAAATTCTTTTAATGGAGAAGATGGATTGCACCACCTAGTGGATCAGATACAAGGCTCTTACATCTATGAGACCAAAACTCTATGGCAAAAGTAATTAAGTAAGTTGAGGCATATTTGACCTCTTCAGTCTTTCTGTCCTGTGCTCCATGTTAATAACGGAAGATAAATATTTTGCCTTCTTGCTTTTGGGACATATGTCTATGCACGATGATAATTATGCTGCAACAACACTTTCATACATTCAAATAATTTCTAATTGCCATTGAAAACATTAATGCTAAGGGGAAGAGTGGACTTTGAAAACTGTATCTCCCATTTGAGGACTTCGTATTGTAATTAACCTTGAGGTTAATAAAAAATTGGAAAGGGCCAAGATGAGAGGCCAGATGTATCATGACAGTTTTAAAAACAGAAGTTCTTTCATTTAGCACAATACTAAATGGATCTTGATTTTTTTCTTTTAAACTCACTGAGGTTGGTTTGGTGTTGTAAAGTCTACTTGTGGCTGAAAATTTTAGTTTTAGTTCAGTCATTCAGTTTGGATTGTTCTGATTCATTCTGGCTTGAGTTCAATTACAGTGTATAATGCAGCATGGATAAATACCTGATTAGGAAGACAGATCAGTGCAAGGTTAAAGGGTGGTAAGACGAGATGATGATAATTACTGGTACATCTTCCTAAGGTGTTTCTATAAATTTTATTACCAAAATTTAACTGGTGTGGAGCAGCTGCTTCTGATAATTCTTGGTGATGGAAAGAAGGAAGGAAGACCTCTTGGGGCATACTGGTCTTAACATCCCACATCCAATCTGGCACTCATGGTTCAATCTTAGTGTAAAAATTGGAAGGGAGATGAGGCTCTGGCTCTGCTTTTGAATGGCTTGGGGAGGCAGACTACTATAAACGTCATCTTTCTGTACGATATTCTGTTTTTTCTACAAGAAGTATGTTCTGAGGAAAAAATGGCTCTCCAGCAAGACACAGACTAGCATGAATTGGTTTTGTAAAGACATTTCCAGTCAAGAAGGGGATTGGATGAGGTATCTCCGGAGGTTTCTTTCAACCCTAGCTATACTGTGATTCTGTGATTGATTACTGTGATGTCTTTAATGTATTTTGTCACTAGGTCCCCATCCCCATTCAGCAGTGAGCAAGCATTTTTTACAATCTTTTGCTCTTGAAGCTCTTCTTCAGCTCCAGCTGGACTTTGGCCTTCCTCATCCTTTCTCTGCATACTCAGGCACTTTTTCCATATTCCTCTTGGGTCACCTTCCTATGCTTCTGTCTCTTCATGTTTCAGACTTTTTAGGAGCTCTTAATTCATCCACACAGACCTCTTACCTTCTTTCCTCGATTTCCTTCTCTTCTTCCAATTTGAAACATCTGACTATCAAACAAGACTTTCAGTAAAAATAGCATTAAAATTTCACTTAAAATTGTTTAGAGTTTCAATATGTGATTCAAAAAAATAGGCTTATGTGTGATCATGAAATGTTTGTAGCATTTATAGAACCATGTAGTAAGCTCTGCCTTTTAAAATTTTTTGCAGATTATCTCTCTATAAATACTTGCTAATACTTACTACGTTTCATTCACTGTGTGAATGAAACAATACAAGACTGTTGAGCATGGAGAGGAGTTTCTATGAAAAAGTCAGGGTGTGGGGAGACCAATATATTTTTCTTGGTGTCATTTTTCTGGTTTTATCTCGGGAAACTAGTATGCAGTTGAAAAAAAGAGTTCACTAGTTCAGGTTTTTTCCAGTTAAAGAAGTTTCAAATTGATTGGGCAAGCTAGCTAGCTAGCTTGAAATAACTTGTTTTTCACAGTGAACTCTGTGAAGGTTATTTTTGTAGTAGATTAGCTGTGATGTGCTTAAATAATCCAAACATTCTCAAGCTTATGACTCCCTAACTTCATTTCTCAAAGATAAGTATCCTAAATATAGCATGTTCTTGTTGCCTAATTTACAAATTTTCTGTCCTAGTCTTGTCACTTTGTATGGGTTATCCCACTGTCTTCGTTTTGAGTTGACAATTTAAATAAACTTATTTTTCCTGTTGTGAGACAGAACCAGGAGCAAAAGAGCAAGGCAGGCCTAAAACTTGTGAGAGTATAAAAGAAAATTTATTAACTACACAAACAAAGAAAAGGGAAGAGAAAAAAAAATTCAGAATAAGATTTTCAGATCACTCCTTCCCTCCCTCTCCCAATTTTCATAACAACAAAACAAACATATAACAAATACTTCGGTCAGTCCCCAATTTAGTCTTTCTCAGTTCACTTCTGGAGAGAGAAGCCTCTTCTTGGTGAAGTTCTCGGAATTTTTCCCACAAGAAGGAAAAAAAAAAAAGACACTTCTCTTGTGGTTTTATCTTTCACGATTTGCATCCGCCCAGGAACCTGCAACCGTGACGCTTCTCCCAACTCTACAGCCGTCCCAAAGTTGTAGATGTGGGCCATGTCTGTCTCATGGGGTATTGCTTTTAAGAATGAAATGTTCGACAGCAAAGATTCTCTCTGTCTCCCTTTTCTCTGCTCAGGCTTCATCT